CCGGCTGTGTGTGCTGCTGTTCGTGGCGGCGCGGCTGTGCAGGAGGGCCAGGGCGGCCTCGCTGGGGGGCTGCTCGGTGCCCGAGGGCCACTTCCCGGGCCACCTGCTGGACGTCAGCGGTACTGGGACCCTGTCCCACAGCTACCAGTATGAGGTGTGTCTGACGGGAGGGACAGGGACCAGCGATTTTAAATTTCTGAGGCCAATTATCCCCAAGTTCTCTCCTCAGGGTGCTGGTAGAGAAATGAAAGAAAGCCCCACCTTTCGGAATAGTTTCCCATTCAATTAAGTTTGGGATTATCCTATTAAGCCCTACTCATAATAATTGGAAATCTTTTTTAACTTAAGGTACCATATTATTGATTTTTTTGTTCATTTTTTAGTATTCTTTAGGTTTAAAAAATTTTAGAGGTTTTTGCCATAGGGCACGTGCACTAGCTGGGGGTGGGGTGGGGGTGGGGAGAGACAGGGAGAGGGAACGTGAGCAATCACCAGGCAGGGGTAGGGGGGATGGTCACACTCCAATCCCTTCCCCTCCACTCTCCTCCTGGGATCTTGGGTACATAGGCACAGGCGTCCAGTGTGATTTTCAAGCCAGTAATCCAGGACTCAAACCACCGTTGCCTATGTGGGAGTCCGTCCATGTGACCATTGTGCCATCTGCTGGCTTCATAGGTTTAAATTTTTAGGAAGTCAAATAGTGATGATAACATAGCATTTTCTCTACTTATGTTTAGGTTTTTATTAATCTCACTCAGTCATATTTGACAATCTGAATAAAAAGGAAATTTTTATTTGCATAATTAAAAATTACTGAAATTAAATCATGTATTCATTTTAGAAAATATATATTCCAAAGTTCTTAAGTAAGACTATATTTTTAACTATCAATGACAATTGTCATCATTATTGTATGTAGGACTCATTTAAAAACTGTGTTTGATATTTAATATTCCAATGCAAGTCTCATTTAGGAGTAATTCCTACAGTATGTAACACTAAAGATAAACACTAAAAATATCTAAGTACTAAAATAGCCCGTTCAAGTTTGTGTGTACTTTAGTATGCCATCATAGTCAATGTATGTTCTCTACGAAGATAGACTTTACTGAAGAGTAAACACATTAAATTACTTTGTGCATCTCATATAAGGACATGATGGTCTCTTTTTTTTTTTTGGAGAGGTTTTCGCTATAGGGCGCGTGCGCTCGCCAGACAGACAGAGAGAGACATAGAGACAGAAAGGGAGAAATCCCCCCCCCCGGGGGGGATGGTCACTCCGCAATCCCTTCTCCTTCATTCTCCTCTCGGGATCTTGGGCACACACGCACACGTGCCTGGCGTGAGTTTCAAGCCACCGGGTCCAGGAAGCGAACCATGGTCGACTATGTGGGAGTCCAGCGACATAGCCATTACGCTAACTGCTGGTTCCCAAGGACATGATGGTCTCTTTAAAAACACCATGCCAGTTATAAATATTTTGTAAATTTGTAAAATATAACTTATGTTTTTCAAATGCTTCTCATTCTCTCAAGCTTCCATATGTGGTACCTACCAAAATTTAAGTCAGGTATTAGTGGCAGGTAACTAGGTAATGTCAGATTTTCCCTTAATGCTTTGTAAGCATCACTTGTTTCATTAACCATAATGCCATTTGTTTTTACATTTTAGCCCATATCTGGTCCTACTTGTGTCAGTTATATTTGTGGTATTTTATGAACAAAAAACCTCTCTTTTCAACTCTTATCAAAGACAGATAATTTACATTAAAGAGACAATTGAGTGAATGTTATTCTCAATGAAAATGGAACTGAACTGAACTAAATTATATTTTGTTGGGTTTAAGGAAGTGAATTGTCAGGGATGATTACCATTTGGTTCAGTGAGTGCAGGAAATATTTACTGTTTTGTACTTCCAGATATTTACTCTTTCCTCCTTGGAATAGCATTTTTCTTCTTTGTGAGGACTTGCTTTTTCTACTATTTTCATTCTAAACACATGACTTCAGTTGGAACAATGGTGATTTTTTTAAAAGAATTTTTTTAAGAATTATTTTATTTTTATTCATTGTCACTTTTTTTTTTTTTTTAGTTTGACAGAGAGGAGAAAGTAAGCAAGCAAGCTGCCAGGCCCAGGACTTGAACGATGATCAGCCATGTGGGAGTCCAGCTGCCTTAACCACCACACCACCTGCCAGCTCCTTAAGAATTATTTAATTTAATTTTATTTATTCGTGCATTTATTTAAATTTGACCAGTGATATAGAGAGAGACAGAGAGAAAATGAGAAAGCAAGCCACCAGATCCAGGACTCTAACTGTGGTTGGCCATGGGGGAGTGTCCAAGCCTTTAACCACCACGCCACCTGCTGGTCCCAACAATGGTGATTTTTAAAACTCCATCTCTATACTCCCAGGGGATGTACACCAGAATGGGCCCCTGCTCTATACAGATAGACCAAAACTCTTCCATGGAAAGAATATTTTTTACTTCATTGCCTTTACTGTCTTCTTCATGTTTGTAGACAAGATATTCCTTTAATTCTGGGCTTATACTGATTTCTAATAAAAATAAATTACTCTTTGCTCTCAGCTTCAGTGGACATTCTACTCAGTGATTTTATGAAGGAAAGCAATTCCCAAGGGCTATGTAGTCCAGGAATCTGACAAGAAATAACATTTTCATTTTCTCTCATTGCAATTTGAGAGAAGAAACTGGATTTTAAAGTTCATAATTTCATCGAACATGGTAAATTAGTATGTTTGTAATGGAACATAAACTACACAAGAGCATGAATATTTACATTAATTTACAGAAGTTAGAAAAATGCCTGCAAAGAGAAATGTTTGTTAAATGAATAAATGAATTTGCCTTGCTTGAGCCAAGTTTGTAGATTGAACTTGTGCTTTAAAAAAGATGATGAATAGAGATGCAGGCATAAATAATACTTTTGCTCTCACAAGTACTGTTAGCTACCTAAACAAGACGTCATGATAACTGGGAGGAGAGGGAGTATAGAACATATTTTGACCTAAAAGGCGAGGGGTGTACACCGTTCAGCTCTTCCACGTTAAGAAATTATGTGAGGTTCTAAAGCAGAACACTTGGTGGCGCTGCAGGCTAAGAGAGTGGAAGCGCCGCAATCAGTAACTCCTTTCAAGCTGAGCAGTTTCCGGCAGCTCCAAAAGGAAACATTCCGTTCCGGGGGCTAGAAGGCTTCAGAGAGGCAGTTATTTCCTTGTCAGTCAGTGTGGAAACAAACAAAAAGAAATCTAACTCAAGATTATTAAACCAAGGTATCTGAGCGATTATTTTGGGATTCCATACTGCATCTTTCCGACGGAAGAAACGATGGAGACACCGCTCCCCAGAGCGCGGCAGAAAAGGCAAGTGACCGCCATTATTCTCCTTTTAGTAATGTGGGAGGTGGGCAGTGCGACCATTAAGTATTCTATTTTAGAAGAGAGGGACAGTGGTTCTTTTGTAGCCGACCTAGCAAAAGATCTGGGGCTGAGCATAGGGGAGCTGTCTGCACGGGGAGCCCGAATTCTTTCCAAAGGGAACAAACAGCATTTGCAACTGGAGCAGAAGAGTGGGAACTTGCTTCTAAAAGGAAAACTGGACCGGGAGGAGTTGTGCGGTGACATAGATCCATGTATACTGCATTTCCAGGTGTTACTGAAAAACCCAGTGCAATTTATTCAAGGTGAGCTACTGCTCCAAGATATTAATGATCATGCCCCAGAATTCTTAGAAAATGAAATTCTCCTGAAAATCTCGGAAAGTAGCCACCCAGGGACTCTGTTTCCTTTAAAAATAGCTGAAGATTTGGATGTGGGTAGCAACACAGTTCAGAGCTACACCATTAGCAACAACTCGCATTTCCACCTTTTCACCCGCAATCACAGCGATGGCAGAAAGTACCCTGAGCTGGTGCTGGACAAAGCTCTGGACCGCGAGAAGCAACCTGAGCTTAGGTTAACACTCACAGCCCAGGACGGTGGCTCACCACCCAGAACTGGGACTTCGCAGGTCCTTATTGTGGTCCTGGACATCAATGACAATGTCCCTGAATTTGCTCAGCTGCTCTACAAGGTGCAGGTCCCTGAGGACAGCCTTATAGGGTCCTTTGTCATAACCGTCTCCGCCAGAGACTCAGATGCTGGGACCAATGGAGAGATCGCTTACACATTTTTCCAACCCTCCAATCAAGTCATTCAAACCTTTGAAATAAACACAGAAACAGGAGAAATTAGATTAAAGAAACTTCTGGATTTTGAGGAAATTCAATCTTACCGTATGGAAATTGAGGCCTCTGATGGAGGGGGCCTTTCAGGGAAATGTACGGTGGCCATAGAAGTTATAGATGTAAACGACAACGCTCCTGAACTGACTATGTCATTACTTATCAGTGATATCCCGGAAAACTCCCCGGAAACTGTGGTTGCTATTTTTGGAATTTCAGATCCAGATTCAGGAGACAATGGAAAAATGATATGTTCCATCCAAGACTATCTGCCCTTTCTCCTGAGAGCTACTGTAGAAAATTACTACACCTTGGTAACAGAGCGCCCACTGGACAGAGAGAGCCAAGCCGAGTACAACATCACCATCACCGTCACAGACCTGGGGACACCCAGGCTGACCACAGAGCACAGCATAACCCTGCTGGTCTCCGACGTCAACGACAACGCCCCCGCCTTCACCCAGGCCTCCTACACCCTGCTGGTCCGCGAGAACAACAGCCCCGCCCTGCACATCGGAACCATCAGCGCCACAGACGCAGACGCGGGCACCAACGCCCAGGTCACCTACTCGCTGCTGCCGCCCCACGACCCGCAGCTGGCCCTGGCCTCGCTGGTGTCCATCAACGCCGACAACGGCCAGCTGTTCGCGCTCAGGTCGCTGGACTACGAGGCCCTGCGCGCCTTCGAGTTCGGCGTGCGCGCGGCAGACCGCGGCTCGCCCGCGCTCAGCAGCCAGGCGCTGGTGCGCGTGCTGGTGCTGGACGCCAACGACAACGCGCCCTTCGTGCTCTACCCGCTGCAGAACGGCTCTGCGCCCTGCACCGAGCTGGTGCCCAGGGCGGCCGAGGCGGGCTACCTGGTGACCAAGGTGGTGGCGGTGGACGGCGACTCGGGCCAGAACGCCTGGCTGTCGTACCAGCTGCTCAAGGCCACGGAGCCCGGGCTGTTCGGCGTGTGGGCGCACAATGGCGAGGTGCGCACCGCCAGGCCGCTGAGCGAGCGCGACGCCGCCAAGCACAGGCTGCTGCTGCTGGGCAGGGAACATGGGGAGGCGCAGCCTGCGGC